AGTTGGTTTCGCACTTTGTAACCTCATTAGCCACAAATATTGAGCTAGTTGGACCGAATCCTCCCGTTTGTATTTCAATTATGTTTTAATTTGAAAGAGATTTGTGTTCCTATGTTATCTTTCCCTTATTTAGGACAGAGCTATCCCAGTTGTGAATATCAGTGGACTGCTGTCAGGATTGATATTATCTCTCTCTCTCTCTCTCTCTCTCTCTCTCTCTCTCTCTCTCTCTGTGCAGTGATGAAAATAAAGAAACGTGGTTTGGGACAGCTTGGAGATACTACTCTGCCACTTTTCTATGATACTTTCCATGACACGATTAACGGGCTCGAGGGCCGGATCCTTACAGAGGCAGGGAGCACCCCTAGAGTGCACCACAACACACAGTGAGCCGGTTAAGGTCTTATGAGTTTGGACAGAGTGAGGAATGTGAACCTTCACACGGTCCTCTACAAGCTGCTGTGAACAGGGAAAATCTCATTAAAGTCTAGACTTTGGAGGGAGCGTGGATTTGAGGAGCACTGCTGCATTAGAAGAGGTAAACTTGATGCCCTTTATACGGCTCCAGCGATCTCACCTGCTTTACTGTCGCAGACCAAGCTTTTGTGAACACTTGCACCAGTTAATTTTAGTGCCTTTTGCAGTAAAGCTCCCATCCTGTGTCATTCAAATCTCAAACCACAGTAGCATGTATCTAGTATATGACTGGCTTTGTGGCTAACCCCACACAAAATGAGTTTTGGTTTCTCTGAAGCACGATTGAGGAAAACTACAAATTGGTTACTGTTGAGTGAACATTGATTGCTCAGCGTTAGTACTTATTTGGAGAACTTCAGAGAGGCATTCATTTATGCACTTTTCTCTCCTTTTGTGTGTGTCAGGGTGCAGAGTTCCTGTAGGTTTGAACTCCCGATCCGACATGGTGATTTTGTAGAATAATTGATATTTGGTAGTCAGCGCTGTGCTTGATTCCCACATCAAAGGACTGCATTATTTCGCTGTGAGTGAAACTCTGAAATGACTCATCATTGATAATGATAAGCCGGTGGAAGGATTTTGGCTCTATGTGGGTTACATAACCACACTGTGTATTTGCACATGTGCTTTTTGGGACCATTTTTCAGCAGTGAATGTAGCACTTTTTTGATATTGTGGATGGTAAATGAAATACATGGTTGGAGTTAGCTGTTGTATGTTCTTTCAACCCCATAAACATTTATTTTATCCGTCCGTGTGCTTAAAAAAAGAATGGAACATGGTGCGTGTTAAGTCATGTTCAGGCAGTGGTTTCTCATGCAATTTATATTCCTCTGTCATCCAGACGCAGGATAATCTATTGAGCTCTATGTTTAAGACAGACATGTGAGTTGAGTTGCTCTGTCGGTGCAGAGCTCACCCTCCCCTTGTGGTCTTAATGCTCTGAGAGCTGCTGTCCAATTCTCAGAAAGGATCAGAGTCAGCATGCACAGGAAGACAGGTGTGTCTTTGTGGAGAGACATATTCTACATAAATGGCAGTCACTTGAACTTGCATAACTGGTAGAACATAGATTCATCTCTGTTTGTCTTTAATAATAACTTGGCAAACATCCTTTAGTCACATGTATGTCTTGCGTATTTACATTACAGACGAGTGAGATGAAGTGACAGGAGGAACACAGAAAAATCAGTTTAGGATTTATTCCCAGAGAGCAATGAACTGAGAATGAATTTGACAAGAATTTAAGATTGAGTTTACACAGAGCGTCATTGGAATGATTCAGATTGTATTGCTGATGATTTTGAGCAAGTACAGCTTCTGTTCACTTTGAATTAATGTTGGTATTGAACCCCCAGTAATAAAATATATGTGAGGGCTGTAGTAAAAGTAAGGCACCACAAATGAAAACGTTTTTCATTCGACATATACTACTCCAGAAAAAGTAGTAGTTAAATAATAAGGCTTATAATGTCTGTAGTTGCGTATTTATGGAAACAGAGGAGTGTTTTGTGTTGATAAAACAAAAGCTGTTTGTGAAGACACAGACGAGAGGATGTTTCCCATCTCCAAGAAAGGAAGTGTGTTTTTTTTTGTTTCTTGCTCAGGGAGATTTTCTATTGAACTACCCGCCCTGGTGCACACTCTCATTGTGAGGTTGTTTGAGGTCAGCCAACTGTCAGCCAGCGACACCCAGCTCACATGTATGCAAAAGTAAAGAATATACAAATGCCATAAAAGCAAGATTTATTTGTTTTAATACTGGTTTTGTTTTTCATTGTTTAACTTGCAGAAAACAACGCACAGACAATAACTGTGCGTTGCTCCGGCTTCATTGAAAAGTTGAAATACGGTTTCCTGTGGTTGAATCTACGTTACAAGCTCCTGAGGTGTGGTTACACAATGCTGTCTAACAGTCAATGGGAGGTTTTGCCTTTTGGTGTGTGTTGCTTTAAGAAAAAGACAATCTTCGGTTTAATCAGTGGAATTGCCATTGAGTTGGTGTTTCGGATCATTTTTGTTAATTGTGCCAAATATAACACTGTAAAGTTTTTGAATTTAGCAATTTATTGTTTAAGATGCACAGTGATTGCATCTACAGTATGTCATCATAGTTCATTGCAATTCATATTGAGCTATCACTGTTCCAGTGTTCTTGTGCTCCCAACCTCGTGTAAAATGTTATCTGACAATCTTTAAGACGATGTTTTCCATCTTCTTCTCATGAATGTGCTCTTAAATTAACAAGAGGTGTTTTGGCGTGTCCCTCCAGAAAGCCAAACCATCTCTGCAGTTTTTTTTATAGTGAGGCGTTTCAGTTGTGACCTAGAAATATTTACACAATAATGAAAATGATAATCGTGCATTTTATTTATAGGCGTCTTTCAAAGCACTCAAGGACACCTCGCAGGCACCGTTTAAAAACGAGCAGCAGTGTATAAAGGCGTCATATAATCCAACTAAATGGTGTTTACAATAATAAGTGGATACAATACATATATATAAATTCTTCGTCAGTGCAAAACTCAATGTGATTGTAGCCGTTAGAGACAGAATCCAACTGAATATGCCAGTTCACGAAGGTGTGAATACACGGCTTTTGAACTTGGAAGTCACTCACATTTATTTGTGAAGGCTGTGGTTTTGACTCCTACGCACAGAACTGAAACATTTGTGGGCAAACGAGGCGCTCGGTGTTGAAAACGTGACAATATGGCTGCAGTTTCAGTTCAGGCTCTATAGTAACACAAGAGAGTGCCAGGGCACCTTTTCTAAATCTCACATGTCTTCTGTTTCTTCTGTCTTGTCTCATAGGTAATGCACTGTAAATGGCTTTTCAAGCAATACACAGAGGTCCGTACAGCAGTTCCATGTCTGGCGTTCTGCAGGGCAGCAGCCTTCAGATAAACTGAATCTGGGATCTGCCTACACCTCGCATGCAGACTTGAGAGGAACTCCAAATGTTCAGCATCAAAGACACCGAGCCTTTGATTTAGAAGTTTGACTTTTAAGCATATGGAGCAAAACTTGGAACGGATTTTATGTCTTTCCGACTGCATTTCCTACCCTGGACAGCATGGATGCTCTTTTTGAATCGGGTTGAATATCATTCGCCTCATCCCCTCCTTCCTGTCTCTTCAGTAGAAGGAGGGTGGGGGATTGGTGTGGCGTCCCCTGCCCCTCCTCGTAGAGTAGGCTAGTCTACCTTGGCACCATAGCAGTTACTCTTTTTTTTATTTTATTTTTTCCCTAACCAACTCCATCCCTCGATTCCCTCTTCATGAAATCCTGCAAGAGCCTGCGGGAAGAGGTTTCCGTCCCTAGCCTTGGCGGGATGTCCCAGGAGGAAGGACGCAGGACTCCAGTGTCCCAGTCCTATTTTCACTCCCCTAACCCAGATCTGGACCTGGCAGGCAAGCTGTACAAGAGGGAAGTTGGCGGTAAGCCGTATTCTGTGTTGGTGGACAATAAAATGGCAGCCAAGGCATCCATGGGAGATCAGAACATTGGTCAGATGCCCACTCAACAGCAGCATCAGCAGTATTTCCGAGAGGGAGGAGTAGGGCAGGAGGTGGGGACGCATGGGTCCCAGGCCGCCAACGACGGCACCTCTGACGACACTGAAGATGATGACGACGACGACGACGAGGAAGAAGAGGATGAAGATGGGGGGGAGGAGGAGGAGGAGGAGGAGAGCTTCAAGCGTGAGCAGATCATTGTCGAGGTCAACCTGAACAACCAGACACTTCATGTATCCAAGGGGGAGAGCAAAACTGCAACCACAGCAGATGACTCTGAAAGAGCTGGCAGTGACGATGACGACGAGGAAGAGGAGGAGGAAGAGGAGGAGGAGGACAGCCTCGATGAAGAGGAGGAAGATGAAGATGAAGAGGAGATTGAGAGTCGAAGGACGAGGTCAAAGAGGGCTCGTCGCGGCGCCAGTAGCACAGCAGCTCCCAGCCAGCCGCGGAGGAAAAGCCTCAGAACGGCTCTGAGCACGGCCGCCGCTGGGATGACCACCAGGGGCCGACGGAAGCGCATGGAGCCCCCAAAGAGCAAGCGCAGGTCGGCCAGGTCGGCCCCGTCGTCCGCCGGGTCCTTGACGGCCGGAGGGAAAGCGGAGGCGGAGGAGAAGGAGATGCTGGCGTGTGAAAAGTGCCCCCGAGTGTTCAACACACGCTGGTACCTGGAGAAGCACATGAATGTCACTCACAGGCGAATGCAGATTTGCGACAAGTGTGGCAAAAAGTTTGTCCTGGAGAGTGAGCTGGCCTTACACCAACAGACGGACTGTGAGAAGAACATCCAGGTAAAGCAGACGTCTCATGTCGTATCACTGTCGTTACACATTGTATTCTGAGTGATAGAAGAAGTGCATTTCCAGGGTTCACCATATTCTTTGACAACATCTTTATATACTTGGATACATTTAGCAGCTGCCCAGAACAACTTCCTGTCAGATTTATTTTGGGTGCTTTGATGATAAACGTGATATTCAAGCATATAATTTTTTCCCCACTGAATACAGTAAACATTTGAAACATGAAACCTGATATACTAGGTTCATATAACCAGTTATAATGAGACTGTGGTGTAAGTGTGAGGTAAACTAAGTTACAATATCTGTAGCCAAAATACTCCCCGATATTGTTTATGAACCGTTGGTATCAGTTCTCTAAAACTGAAAAGGTGATTCAGCGTATTAACACCCAAGGGTCTTGCAGCTGTTTTTTGAATATCTTAATTTAGCCCCCTGTTTTGTTTAACTTGATTTGCATCTTTTCGTCTTTCCCCAGCCGGTCAAACCAGTTGAAACCATGTCAACCGCTCTAATAATTAGTTACGTTAATGCAGCATTTCATTTTTCACATTTATTATTGCAGAACCTGTTAATGCACCTTTCCTGTCCAGAAGGCAACTCTCAATATTCACTCCTGTCAGTAATAGATTGATAAATATATCGATTTATTTCTGTCATGCATATAACGTGCCCAACCCTCACGGGTTCATAAGACACCAGAAATACAGCTGCAGTGGACACACATTTCATAAAAGACTCACATGATGGGCTTAGCAAGCCAGAAGGCATGACAGAGATACTAGAACAAAGTGGAAGTCTCTTTGATATGATGGACCAAAATCACGCCCTCTGGCCATCCTAAGTGCACGGGCTTTTTATATGTTGGTGGCAGCGTAATGCTGCGGGGATGCTTCTCTTGCAAGGAAACTTCCATTTACAACTGGATTTATTTTCCACCAAGACCAAAGCCCCAAAACACAGAGCCAATGCTCAGGAGTGGCCTCAGAACAACAATGTCGGTGCTCTGTATTTTCAAAGTCGGTCCATAATTGAATCCAGTTGAGAATTGGTGCACTTCTACAGAGAAGAATTAGCAACTGTGATACAAAACCCACACAGACGTAAATTGCTGGCAAAGGTGCCTCTTCTGAATATCGATTTGAAAGGGATTCAGACATTCACTCTGTTTTGTAATTTGTGCAACTTACTTTGTGTTTAAGTCTCTCTGTTGATCAGTGTGTTTGTTACATACACTTTTGAATCAGTTCCATTAAACAAAACATGACATGACCCAAGTATTTTAACTTTATACGGTTTAAATCTGGAATCACACCAACGAGCCATATTAGCATGAATAAAATCTGTACATTCCCGTTTGTTATCCTTCCCCAATGTTATCTAAATTGTCGATTTGATCATCTTCCGGAGATCTCCAGAGGGAAGTCAGGGAATTGGACTGGTTGTGGTTTGTCCCCAGCAGAGGGAGCCAGAGTATAAGGAAACAGGTTGATGGCCATCAGGTTTTTGGTGCTGGTGATATTTATCAGCAACAATAATCTTAATGTTTTTTTTTTTGTTTATGTGTCCTTTAGTGCGTCTCCTGCAACAAGTCTTTTAAGAAGCTGTGGTCACTGCACGAGCACATTAAGATTGTGCACGGCTATGCAGAAAAGAAGTTCTCATGTGAAATCTGTGAGAAGAAGTTCTACACGATGGCTCACGTCCGCAAGCACATGGTTGGTAAGTGGGGGTCTGTTTAATAAGTTCCTATTGTGCTGCATCACTGTCATATTTGGGGTGATTCTCTGGTTTTATACGACTGGACAACAACATATCAATATTTTGTAATGTAGATGCTGTATTTTTTGATTTTATGCCGACCATATTTTTTCATTTGAGGTGTTTATGTGGCATTTCTTTCGAATAATCAGATAAATTGTCTTTGATTAAATAAAACTGCCGTTTTTTTTATTTTTTTATTTATTTATTTATTTTTTATTCATACACGGTTGTCTTCATTGAAACTGTCAGGTGTATGCAGTTGTCTCATTATTGTTTTCCTCTCTCTCTCTCCAAACCCAGCGCACACAAAGGACATGCCATTTACCTGTGAGACGTGTGGGAAGTCGTTTAAACGCAGCATGTCTTTAAAAGTTCACTCACTCCAGCATTCTGGAGAGAAACCTTTCCGTTGTGAGGTAAGATGCACATCGTGGCCCTGTTAAGACATGACGTCGTGTCAAAGTTAGATCAAGTTGCAATTCACGACGGCATCATGAAATGTGTCTCACCTGCATCTAAAGTGACCACTTGTGATTAGATTTAGCCGACACAGGACTTCCTCACCTGAGAGGAGCTATAACAGTGTAGGTCCGATGAAATCTCAGATTTCTTTCACATTGCACCCGATTTACGATTTCATTTTTTGTCTTAAAAACAAACTACGCCTACAAAAGACAAAGGAATTATTAACTTTCACCAAACAGCACTTATAAGAAAATGAATAAAAGATGCCTTTTGTAAAAAGGTCCGTACCGTAATTGGTCAAGTTACAGCGAAAATCTATTTTCATCCTAAACCATGAATTCATTGATAAAATCAATAATAATAATAATTAAAAGATTTTATCACCCAAACAGTGTTTGCTGTGCTGTATGCGAATTGCCCTTCAATGTGATCACTGACACGTTCATGTCAACAGTTTGCTACACAGTGTGAATATGCTACAAAACCTCCTCGACAAAGCCTTTAGAAGTGAAACACATCTATCCTTGTTCTCAGTACACACAGTCACAAGTGAATGGCGCTGAATGCAGGTGTACCAGAGACAAAGGGGGCGTATTTGTTATGTTCTCTCATCTGCGCCATTTGGTTTGCGACTACCCAAAATAGTCAGTTCTATTCCGACGGTGTCTCTCAGAGGCGGGCCATCCTCCCGTGTTTTAAACATTCATTGGACGGTTCTATCATCCGCGTTCTACAGAGAAGTCGAACCGCTCATAGTGTTCACCAACTGACTGGAACCTAAAATACGTGTAAAACTAAATGTTAAGTGTTCCGGGGCTTTAATCAACATCTCTAATGGATGCATTTTGTCACATTGTGGGTCAAGATGTCCAAGCTCAGTGGGGTTAGTAAGAGTTTATTATGTTCTGTCCTCGCTCGGGAATTCAGAGGAAGTTGACAGATTGGATGGTTTACTCCCACCCGAGGCCTTTTAATATCCAACCACATGAATGGGACAGCACACGGGGAACATATGTGTATGGGTGGAGCTGCTCTAATTAAATGTTTAAAGTCATCCTTCACTTTAACGTGCTTATTAAGGATGTATGTAATGTATAGGCCATTCTCCTCAGTGATCTAACTCTGTTGGGCCAAATGGAAACTGCTAGTTATTTTTCCCCACAGGCATTTATTTAGCCGGGTGGTGCCGTGGAGATTATAAATATTTTACTTTTGGAAAAGACCCGACCAAGAAAGCCTCATTATGCAAATATACAGCGTGGTTACATGCACCCAAATAATCTGGTGTCGCATAACTTTTAATATAGTTTTTAATACTCAGAACATATTAAAAGTCAATATGGTACCCTTCATGATTGTTTTAAACGTGTCAAAGGAAACACTTTAGGTTAAAAGCATTTTCAACAAGTTAGAAAGAGGAGTATGTGAAAGATCTTTTACCCTGATTCAGCGTTTTGTTTGTATTGAGTGTTGTTGAGCTGATGCCTGTCCGTGGACTTGGTGTGTCATCTGAATGCCTTCTGTCGTCTCTGCCGCAGAACTGTGACGAGCGGTTCCAATACAAGTACCAGCTGCGCTCCCACATGAGCATCCACATCGGACACAAGCAGTTCATGTGCCAATGGTGTGGCAAAGACTTCAACATGAAACAGTATTTTGATGAGCACATGAAAACGCACACAGGTGAGAAATGTCAAGCTCGTGCACTCCTGATCTCAGACCAAATGTGCCGGTGTTCAAAGGGTCTGTTGGAACGTCTTGTAGGAGGAAAACGTAACCAGCTTTTCTGACTGCAGGAACATACTTCTAGTTTTAAAGCGAGATTTAGTTCCTCGGCTTTTCTACATGCCCATTGAGACATTCCTGTTCTCCAGATTTGAGTTTCCAGTGACCCAGCAGCCATCAGGGTGGTCTCCAGTACACTCACGAGCGCTGTACAGATATACAGACCTGGAAATGGACTTTCTTGTAGTAACGCTTAAAGTTATACAGCCAACTTTCCAGTCTTAAAAAAGCCCCCTGTTTGAATTATATACTGACCAGAAAGCTCTCAGCTGAGCCGTAATACGTTGGAGACGGACGTGTCACCTTTCTGGCATCTGTCTTCCGCTCCATCTCTGCCCACTCTCCTCTCCGGCATCTGAAGGATTTGAATGTCAGTTGTGCAACACTAAATACCACGGAACAACAAGCTGACTAGGCTGTTGTGCGAGTGTATGCAAAAATTATGTTTCATGCAAAGTAGTTATATTTTTATCACATCCATCTTTCAGTTACTTGTGAATAATAATTCAAAAGGTGCTTTTTATGTCCTGAATCAAGTCCCTCTGACTGTTTAGAAAGGTCATAGGTTTATGTTTTTGTTATGTTTGTACTCTGCCTGTCACTAATCTTCACGTCAATACTTGGAATTCTGAATGCTTTGAGAGGAAAACTTTGCCAAACAACAACAACGTTCCTGGGCTCAGTCGGTCTGCCGGCCAGTCACCATACACTCTAAAATCAGAAACACGTGGGATCTTTCCAAGATGAACATTATAGTGGTGCGAGCAGCGAGACTTCGCCCAGTTTTTGTAATGAAAGGGATGTTGTACATCAAAGCAGAGCCTTGCATATATATCGGGGCTTATAATGACTACCCAGACACACTCTGGTTTTCTCTCCCTGCTCTGTTGCTATTTCCAAGACCAAACTGAGCAGTGCAGCCTGTTCGTCTTTCACTGTTTTTTCCAGCCTGACGTGGGTGGACACTCTGCTCTCCGTTGGCCCTCACGGTTCTATTTGTGATGTGTAATTACGCTCCCCTCTCTTCCCCCTGCCGCTACCGACCAATTTAAGCTCCTGCAGCAGGAGACACACCCAGCCGTGCCCTGTAATAGGCAGCACACATGTTGAACAAACACTCCCAAAAGTTTGGCTCGCTGCGCCATGTCTTGTGAGTGTAATGTAACAGCTACAGAAGACGAGCACATTCGCTGTCACCTTTTCATATTCAGTCGGTTCGGAGGAGCTTCATGCATAACATGCCGGTGTAAGGCATTCAGAGAGCCCTTCAGCAGCCTGCTAATAGATGGCTGTGTGGGTGGTAGCTGGCACATTCAGTAGCTCCATGGAGGGAGGTTAATGAGAGCAGCGTTCCAACGAAGCTGCTGCTGTTCATTTTTCACATCTCCTCTCCTCAAAGTGTGAATTGTAATAGCTTCCTTCGGAGTGGGTGGGTTGACGGCAAAAGACCCGTTCAAGATGCCAACGTATTAGCGCTTTTTAAAAGAGAACTGTCGTTCTTTGTACAGAGAAATAGTGAAAGGGGGGGAAAAATGACTGTTTTTTGGAGCTTTAATCAGTTGATTAATAATCTTATAACTATCTCATTTGACTCTGACGCATCATATTGTTTTCTCTTTTTGTCCACTAATACAGTCTCTGTCTTCCTCACACGTGAGTCTTTTTATTTTGCAGGAGAGAAGCCTTTCATTTGTGAGATCTGCGGGAAGAGCTTCACCAGCCGGCCCAACATGAAGCGCCACCGCCGTACTCACACGGGGGAGAAGCCCTACCCCTGCGACGTGTGCGGCCAGCGCTTCCGTTTCTCCAACATGCTCAAAGCACACAAGGAGAAGTGTTTCCGGGTCACCAGCCCCGTGGTCCTGCAGACCAGCGGCCCACCTGTGCCTGTCCGCATCTTTGCCAACACCTTCTCGTCCTCTTCCTCCATCTCTGGTCCCAGTCCCTCCGCTGCCACCGCGGCCTCCACCTCGGCACCCATGGGCCTCAACCCGACGGGAGGGCCCATGCCTCCACGAGGCCCCGTGGGACACACGTTCTCCCACGTACAGCTCCATTCAAACCCCTCTCACCATCATCCCCACCCCTCGACCACCCAGCAACACCTCTCAAACACATCCCAACATGCCCCGCCTCACCCCCACCACCACCTGGCAGTGCCCCCAGTCTCCCATCTACCCCTACCCCCACCCCCGGCCCTATTCAAGAGCGAGCCCTTAAACCACTGTGGGCACGAAGACAGCAGCTACCTGCACCACATGGCTCCCCCCGACAAGGGCCCCGGAGCCCCACAGCACCACTGAACTGGGCCCCCGGCTCTGCAGGCCCACACCAAACCGCGCCTTGTTCCTCCTCTTCTCATAGTCCTGCCTCAGTCTCTCAGTTGCAGGGTCCCTGGTCACAAGGGGGCTCCTCTCAAACTGATTGAAATAAGTAAAGCTACACACACATACACCCTCAGTGCACACCGTATTTAAGTAAGACCCCTACTTAAATGACAAAGATTTTACAACCTCTAAAAAATATACTCTTGAACATTTTCTTAGGAAATCTACACAAAAGGATTTCCGTGCGAGTTCTCTGTTTGTACATTAATGGGTGTAAAGTGTCTCCTTTTCATCAAAAGCTGCTGATGGGAGGTCGACGTATGTATTACCTGAGCACTATCAAGGGTCAGTGTCATTTAACGTTCCTCCTTATGTCGGCTCATTGATCTCTGTGCACGTCCTCCCAATAGCAATACTCAACCTGTCCTAGTAGTTGGACTGTAGAGCCTCACCCCCAAAGCAATATTTGATGAATGTTGTAACTGGTTCTACCCGAACCTTTAGGCCGAGGCTGAGGCTTTCTGTCAGAGGGGAAACAGCAGCTGTGTACGATGCAGTGCCGTAGGCTAAAGTAAGAAGGGGGGGTGGGGGGGGGGGGGCATTGGAAAACAGGTTTTGTAAATGGTTAGTTGAATCTAGACAAAGTCTGAAATTCACACTATGGTTAAATGGTGCTTTCCATTCCAGTGCATACAGTGTTTCTTAATTTTAGCTTTTTCCATTTGATTTCCAGAAGTTCAATATTACAGAATAACGATGTATTGTGTCGGCCTGGCATTCCTACAATGGATGTGAGGTTTGGCTGGATATGTTGTGATCAAGAAACTCAAATTATGCAGGACCTGCACGCTCACACTTACTGAAGCACACACACACACACACACACACACACACTCAAAAGACGAACCATACGGTCACTGATTTACTTGCCGTGTTCAGTGCGACCTCAGAACTGTTGGTCATCGGATGCTTTTAGATAACGGATGACTGTCACATACTGCCACTGTGAGGGGCCAGACACATGGCCCCATCAGGATTTACCCCACTTCCCTTCGCTGCTGTCGAAATGATACGGGTTACCATGTGAAAGGTCATTTGACACACACACACAGTATACGCACCTGGGACCTTTTTCATCACAGTTCTTAATTAACAGGCAATTATGCATATTCCTCTCAGCCTATATTCCACAGTTCGGTGCGGGGAGTTGTTGTCATGTAATGGTTTGCTTTTTCGACTTCGTACTGATTAACCCACACAGGCAAATGTGTGTCTAAACCTGTTGAATGTTTCTTTCGCAGAATGATGGCCGATGACTCATTTATGTTTTTGTTTTTTTTATATATATATTCTCTGATAATTTGCTCAGTTTTAAGCTAATGTAGATATACTGTTGTTAGCACATGATAGGAAATGTCAGGATAAAATGCAGTGGTCATACAACTTCTAATATTTGGAATTCTTGTATAGATAAGCATACATGTGATAAAGTCAGCGTCAGAAATTACATTTATTAATGTAATAGCTGATGGTGTGAATGTTATTTGTTTAAAATAAGCATAAAGGGTTGGCAAGTATTTGTCATGAATTTGAGTTGCGTGGTTGGTAGCCCTTCGCCCAGTGTGTGTGTGTGTGTGTGTGTGTGTGTGTGTGTGTGTGTGTGTGTGTGTGTGTGCGTGTGCGTGTGTGCGTGTGCGCGTGCGCGCGTGTGTGCGTGCGCGCGTGTGTGCGTGCGCGCGTGCGCGCGTGCGCGCGTGCGTGCGCATTTTCTCTACCAGTCTGTCTGGTTGTCCCGTGCTCTTCTACCAAAAGCTGCTTTTACACAATGTGCCCCAATATATGTATGTATGTGTGTGTGTGTGTGTGTGTATTTGGGGATACCTGAGATGGACAATAGCAGTAAATTTAATGTGATCCTCTTTCTACCACTCTAACTGTATTCGGTCTGGAATGGTTGAGCTCAGTAGTTTAGGATGTCCCCTTTTTGATTTGAGACCTGCAATTATCCTGCCATTTCTATGGGCCTTAATACGGCTGTATTATTTGCTCATCCGGTCCCCTCGGGTTCACTGCTGTGCTTCAGCATTTTTGCAGTATGGATCTTTTGTCTTTTTATTTTTTTTAAGCCTTTTTCGTTTGTGTGTATTCTCTGCACTTTACTGCTGCGTGGGTGAGGCACAGGGAAGGGAGGGACTGACGATGCATTGTGGAACAGAGTGCAGTTGTGGCTGCATGAGAGAGGGTGGAGGTGATTATTTTGAGTGGATGTTTTTAGGCAAGGAAAGGAGGAGAAACCCCGGGTGGAGGCTGTTAGTGTGGAAGGGTCCATAGCCAACAAAGGACATGTCTTTTAGTATGCGCATACATTTAATTTCCTATTTAAAAAAAATAAAAAATTTCTTTCAAAGAAAAACAACAAAGTCCAATCCCCCCCCCCCCTCAAAGTGAAAGCGACATTCCTCCTGCTTTGGTGACTTTACACTAGCCCCTCCAAGCTATTGCTGACGTTCATTCTCTTGTTTGTTCATGGAGTGTCTCTCCACCATGTCCTGTTTTGTCTCCTCCTTTCTTTGTTTTATAGAATGCACTTTCTACTAAAATTCTTGGCTAGTTAAGAAAAAATAACATTGTATATTCTTTAAAGATGTTTTTAAAAAAAAATCAATATGCTTTTTTCCCCTTTGTATTTTTAACCACTTTAATGTAGCATTGCGTATTTTATTATTGTATCTGGTACAAAATGTGCAGCTTTATAATGTCTCGGTTTGTCCTTTTTTGTATGTTATCTGGAGATTGAGGAGAAGTGGAAAAAGTTGGGCCTTTTTTGATAATGTACATTTAAACTGACTGCTAACTTTGAGAAGTAAAAACAAGTAGCCATGATTATCACACATCTATGTGCCTCTTTTTTTTTTTTATTTCTGTGAGTTTTCCGTGAACAGTTAAGAAAGGTAATTATGAGGCGTGTGCACAACATGTTCCTGACAGTAAACTAAGCACTAAACTTTGCTGAAAAGCTTAAATTCCAGCTGATAACAGCACACACTTAAATTGCTTGCGTGTTATTTAACTATTTTTTTGGGTCACTAAGTTCTTGGTGTAATGCCTGTAACTAAACAACGTCTGCTGGCTGCACATGACACTGAGCGGTCAGCTGCTGACTTTGCTTTTCAAAACCTTTTATTTGCCCAGGAAATTTTAGGTCCTCTTTATTTATAAAAGACCGCTTCCTGTTTATTTAATCTGTTTTAAATTATGTTTTTGAAGAAAATGACCTGAGAGAGCCTTACAGTAGGGTTCATTGTATTCCACTGGCAGTGAATTTGACCGTCAGTCACCTTCTCAGGCAGGTATTCTCCGGTTAGGTAACACACAGCATGAGTCTTTTCATCTAAACCCCTTATGATATATGTTTAGATGAGCTGTTGCGTTGGGAGAAAGTGTCAATTGAATAATAGAGTGACAACAGGATTCTGCAAAGAATGTCCTCACAAACATTTCCTTTCCTGGATATCCGCTGATCCAACTCGACCACCTTTATTCGTCCATTAACAGAGTGCGCCTCCTCTAAGGGCACGGTAAGACTGTTACTGTTGCCGGTATAACTCCTAAAATGCCGTGTGCCATCAGGGGTTTGAAGTGGTGCACCAATGAGTCGCATAATCCTATAAAATGGCTGAGCGGGGCCGACAGGTAGAGAAAGGTGTAAGTGACTCACTGATGGTGAGTGGGTGGTCAGGTACCGAGGCTCACTTCACGAGCCGAGAGGAGATAATAACCCACTGTGTACATCTCCATTCCCGTTTGGGTTTGAAAATAGTCAGCCACCCCAGCTGTTAGTCATTACGCCTCGTGGTGCAGAGGAGGCAGGAGGCTGCGTCTGCCTGATGAGGATGAGGAGGGCTTTACGTTGTGTTTTTTCAGTCGTGTCCTCGCCGCTCTGAAGGTTTCTATGCGGTTCATTAATCACCATTTGCAAGGGTTTATTCTAGATGAACACAAACCCCCTCGCTGCGACGCTAATGTTTCTCTGTGATTAAGAAAAGGAGACACCATATTGCATATTGAAATGATGTATAACTTTGGATACTCCAATTAGACTCAGCTCTGTCTCCCTCACAATAGAGGTCAGAGGTCAAGCAGCTCCACAGCAAAATCTGTTTTTCTCCAACGAGCTTACGGCCGCACTGACCCAAATCCTGATGATCCTGTTGAAGGAGGTTGTCAATTTTTCAGCAGGAGATCTATTGCATCAGATATTCTCCTGTGACTGCCCAGAGTTCTCTGCCAGGCAGGTGTTTTCTCAACTGGGTCAACAGTACGCTTAATAATACAGGGAAAGGTGCACAGTTTACTCTGGCCTTTTCTTAGACCTGTGGTGTTTATCCATGTTGGAAAGTGTGTGTGAGTACGTTTGAATATGCGTTTGTAGTCTGCCATGAGAGGCAGTGAGGCGAGAACAAATACTGACATTCGCTTGACTAACATGCATAATATTGCGAATATAGCTATTCAGGAAACAGAATATATGCATTCTGTCGTTCTCTCTTTTTTCCCCCTCCTTCCTTTCCTCCCAACAGCTCTCCCCCTCTCCTCTTGAAAGTACCGTGCACGCGCTCAGCAGGCTGCTATTAAATGGGCGGACTTGTATGCGCGGTCACGTCCACAGCGGCTCCGGTGATTTTGACCGTCACATAAAAGCGCCCGTCCCAACGGCCGAGCGGCGGAACTCTGTCTCTACTCTCTGCGAGACCGGATCGGACGTGACCGACACCGGGGGATCGGAAACCAGCGCCTCGTGCCTCACAGTAATGCTTTTTGCGAGAATTTCGATAGAAGAGTTGAAGTTTGATCTGATGCATTCCGGGCTCTCTGCTACTATTGTTATGATAAAGGGAGGTTACTTTATCAGTCGGTAGATAAGGTTGGCAGGCTGACAACGGACTTGTCTCAAAGGGGACTTGAAGTGTGTTTTACAGCCAACTAGACCTCACAGACATGTAACCTCCCGGAACCTGGTCCCGTTAAATGCGTGCTTGTAGGCGTATTATTCTTTATATTTCCTATTTAACCTCATTTGATATCACATCTGACTCCGTACTATCTTTCTTGTACACAGGGCTACTCTTGTAGGATTAATTAGGTTATTATAAAGTTATTATTTGGGACCTTGCATGGTGCTGCTGTCTGAGGCAATTCAGCATCCACTGTGTTTTCTTCCATACAGGCAAAAAAACAGCTTGAAGGAGTTTGGTAGGAAATAAGGAAACGCACGCGGTCAGCTGACACCCACTGCTGACCACCGGCTTCACTCAAAAGGTAGGCAGGCGGACACCGTCTATACACTGTGAGACACAGTCTTGCTTGTTCATCTAATGTACAGTGTATAAGCGTGCTTGCTTGCAGGATTTGCATGGAGCCCATGTTTTTTACAGATCCGAATATAATCTTACTTCCCTCATATTGTTTTACTCCTGCTACAGCAGGATGACCACCTCTTAATTATACCTCTGTAGAAAGGTACATTATTTCAGAGACCCGTGAGCTGGTGGATGCTGCCTCTTCTGCTTTGAACTGCTGACTGGCTGCTTTGCTCTCTTTCAGCTCATAACTGTTTTCATAGATGATATTCAGAATATTGTGTCTATTTCATATATTCAATCTATGTTTTACTCTGTTTTTACCTCCCCCAAACCCCACTCTTCGTCTATTTACGCATTGATGTTTCCCAGAAATCGTCCTCGGTAGCCTCCACCTTACTGTGGCTTGCCTTGCGTGGGATGCTGGAGAGTGGGAGGAGAGCAGGAGTGGAGATTTGATGCCTGTAACAGTCAGAGGTGTGGCATAGTCAATCATGGGGGGTTCAATATTCAACTGCTGTTATGTCCCACCCCATCCCCCAGGCGAGGGGGAGCCCGCCGGGTGCAGACGCGCAAAGATCATGGCCTCCAATGCAGCCAAGATCGCCTCCGACAAACGCTTCCTCATCTTCTTTGACTTTGATGAGACCATCGTGGATGAAAGCAGCGACGACGTAGTGGTGCAGACCGCCCCGGGTCAGCACCTTCCGGCCTGGCTGAAGGACACGTACCAACCTGGCCGCTACAACGAGTACATGCAGCGCGTGCTGGCCTACCTGTCGGAGCAGGGCGTCACCGAGAGCGACATCCGCGGCTCCATGGAGAAGATACCGGCCACCCCCGGCATGCTCACCCTCTTCCAGTTCCTCCGCACTCGACCACCGCAGGACTTCGAGGTGGTGCTGTTGTCTGACTCCAACGCCTTCTTCATCGAGTCCTGGCTCCGACGCGCCGGGGCCCGCCAGCTCTTCCACCGGATCTTCAGCAACCCGGCCACCTTCAACAGGGACGGGCGGCTGGTGATGCGGCCCTTCCACTCCCACGACTGCGTGCGGTGCCCCAACAACATGTGCAAGCAGGTGGTCGTCAGGGAATACGTGGCCCGCAGGACGCAGGAGCGGGGCCGCCCGTACCAACGGGTCTTCTACGTGGGGGACGGAGCCAACGATTTCTGCCCGGTGCTGTCCCTCGGGCCCCGGGACGTGGCTTTCCCGCGGCGGGACTTCCCCATGCACCGGCTGATCACGGAGATCCATGAAGCCATGCCAGGGGAGTTCAAGGCGGTCACGGTGCCGTGGAGCAGCGGGGAGGATGTGGTGCAGAGGCTGAGGAAGCTGGTGGCAGAGTAGAGGGTCACACACAGAGAGGGGAGAGAGGAGCATTAAGGGGCCAGTTGACACATTTTGTCAAATTCTCAGGTTAAATAGTCCCACAAACTAATGTTAAGGCAATTAAACCATTTGTATTGTCTGTAGAAATAAATAGTGTCTGTCTGGCGTCCAGTTTACACGTGCCTTAGTCCAGCCTCTCACGCTTTAGTCCGGAGGTCACTCTCAGGACAGAGGGACCATAATCATCAGCAGGTTAATGATTGTGGAGACCTGCCGCTATCTCCAAACGACAGGAAATCAATGACATATCAGTGCTTTCTTTTAAAGATTTAGAAGTACAGTAATTTATAACTTTAACGTTTGGGGGTGGGCCTATTTGCATAATAAATAATCTACACTTGTATGGGATATGGTGCTTTAAAATGTTAAACGGGATCAGTATAGGTCCACTTTAGTAGCAATATTTAAAAATGTTAGATATTTATAACAACCAAGAAACGGGGTGCTCTTTTATAACAAGTGTGATTCACTATTTCAAATATTACATTTCAGCCTCGATAAAGTAAATCTAAGTAGCACTGCTCTGTGAAGGGCATTTCAACAGATCTACAAGATGACCACACAATGTTTTTAGACAATGTGCTTCTCACATATATGTCTGATTTAGAAATGTATGACGATGTGTTTGTTTAACTTGTTTGTCAGTCTGTTGTATCTTTACTGTACTGAAGACAATATGTAATCCAGCAGGAATAAAGCCATCAACTGAAACCCTACTGTGTCTGCATGTATTATCAAACCTCATCAACATCCAAGTGGAATAATTTCCCCCCCCGAATACATACATCCATCTTTACCATAGAAATGCCACATTTCATATTTAATAGTTGAACATCAGTTGGCCTACTTGTTTTATGCTTCACTTCTCTAAAATGTTTGGCACATTTAGTTCTTGGCACACCAATCGTGCACACACCACAAATCAACTCTGCGTAGGTTAACATTGGTTGAAGTCCCACGTAGGTGAGTGTAATAGAACAAAAGTTTTGAAATCAAAGCTACCCAAGTAATTCTTATAAAGTCAAAGATTTCCCCAACATTGAAGTACTATAGTTTTCTGAGGGTTAAATAATTGTTTTAGTAAGCTATTTACCATTAGTTCTAATGGAAAAGTTTATTCTTCTAAAAATGAAACTGCATTAATTATCTAAAAAGTATAGTTTCTTCAGTATTTTAATATTCATAAATAATTGATTTTACATACATTTTACATTCATTAATTTTAGAAAAAAAGTCCTGGAGTAGGACTCATTCAGTTGAACTGTTTAAAGTAAAGCCCATTGTAAACCATTATATAGGTCTCTACTGGTTAATCTGAGTAGACATGTTAATATTTATTTAGTAATAAACCGTTAACAAACACGCACAGGCCTGTATTTATCAGGATATTGGATTTTATGACAAACTGAAATTGATAAATATAACTGCCGTTAATAAATGTTCACTGCCCTCCAGTGGTTGCAATGCAAAACTACAGGCCCATCTATATTTAACATTTTATTGTGAGAGGACTCAGCGGAACGTACAATATGAGATTGTGTCTTCCTTTATGTCTGATCGGGTCGATGTAATTATTGTAGGGCTATTAGCCAACTATAGCACAGCGTCTAGATTCATTGAGTTTACTTTGCCACACAGCTATGCTATATTTGCACGGAGACATACTCTTAATCTTTCGGTGAACACGTACACAATACAACTTTCAAAATAGTCGGAGCAAGATATTCAAGATAAAACTTAATTTGAAAGGTGCTGAAGTGCGTGTGACTATGCATGTGTAACGTAATTTGGGGGTGTTGAAGCGAGGGCAAGCGACGGTGACTGATTTGTGTGCGTGTAGTTTTTATGCTTCTTAATTAACACATCCACCGCTGGGGGGCGATAGTGAACCCTAACCGCCCTCATGTCAGTAGAAGAAGAAAGCCGGAAGCAATAGCTCGTGCGCATGGCGCTTTTTGGGAAATTATTTATCTTTTGAAAACGCACCCAACTTTTATCTCGTTTCGATAATAATCTTTGCAGACTGCACTATAACAGCATACAGGTGAGTTGGTTTTGTAGCCTTTAAGTTATAGTTTAGTTCCGTAAGCTAGCTAAGCTGTAAGCTCTCTTTAGCTGAACGTAACTGAAACGTCGCCTCCAACTCATTCATTTCTGTACTTGTTCGCTGGCTAGCATGCTAGCTTTTGACTCCCTATTAACATTGCAAACACAAGGAAATTGTTAATTTGTAATAATCGAAAACTTCTTACTTAAGACATATTTTAGTATCTGTATCGTTTTGCCGACGGAAACCACCTGAAAGCTTGATGAATAGCTGTCGTGGTGCATGTTATGCTACATGCTAAGTTAGCATCGATTTAATGGTAACTTAAGGTAACGTTATGTTTAAGCAAGCTGGTTATGAAGTCGTCGCTGGCTTTTGGAAAACAAGCAAAACCTAATTCACAATGCTAAATTATATTACTAATGAGACGTGAACATGACCGTTATTGGTGCATATTTAATCACACAGCAACACAGACATGAAATAACATTTCATTATTTATTCGTAATAAGAATTTAGACAATTCTAGTTGTATTGTTTTGTCTCACGAAAATGTTGTGTCATTGTCTTTTGGCATTGGATCTAATTCGTATGTTGTCTTTACCAAATGAGCAAAACCATATACTATTATTTAACCCATGACCCCTCTTTCAGTTCTCTACAAGATGGAGGCTGATCTGTATGACGAGTTTGGAAACTACATTGGTCCAGAGCTGGACTCAGATGACGATGAAGATGATCTGGATGCAGAGGACAGAGATGTTGATGAGGTACTCTTAAACATTTCTATAAACCGTCAACTTGATGGTACTTTTATTTATTTTTGAATCTAGTATGTGCTCACATGTCATGGTAATTACTCTCTCCTTGTGCAGGGTGACGATGATGATGAAGATGAGCCTGCTGATGCTGATGAGGATGTCCCCGGTATGGAGGTGGTCCTGCATGAGGACAAGAAGTACTATCCTACAGCAGAGGAAGTTTATGGGCCTGAAGTGGAAACTATTGTCCAAGAGGAAGACACACAACCTCTCACAGGTTAGATACAAAGAACAGTGTAGCCTGTATGAGCAGATTTACAATAACGGACACAGTATTTGGTTACTTAATCCAAATGATCTCAAATATTTGTAAAGGTATGTGATGGATGCTAATGTTTTATTCTGAACTGCATAAATAATAGTGTTTTCTCTTCACTCCAGAGCCCATCATCAAGCCTGTGAAGAACAAGCGGTTCACCCTGATGGAGCAGGAGTTACCTGCCACTGTGTATGATATGGAGTAAGTCATCTTCATGAATATGCACATGATGTGATTTTTTTTATTTATTTTTTTTCCCCTGCCAATAAAGTCTGAAGATGCAAATGTACATCCAGACAATTACTGCTACGACAGTAATTAGTCGTATTTCCTACTACATATCTGCCATTTACTGCGTGTCTTTCGAGTTCTGATATCCCTCTTCTATCTTGTTAGATTTCTTGCAGATCTGATGGATGGTCCTGAGCTAATCCGTAACGTCACCCTGTGTGGTCATCTTCACCATGGCAAGGTTAGAGCCTGCCTTATGGCTGCGCCTGGCTTCTTGTTTCTCTTTTAGCTTTTTATTTTTATGCTCAGCACATCATTTAAAAGAAAATATGTCAATTTTAAAGCTGGTTCGCATGTATCTCACATTGTTCCTTCTTCCAAAACAGTGACGAATAACACCAGGAGCAAAAATACAAGTATAGCGAAAATACTGGATTGGATATTTGGAATTATTTTTAGCATTAAAAATTATTATTTTTTGGTCTGGCAGGGATTCTTGTTTGCCCGGCAGCCCGCCAGGCCTGTACAATAATTGGAGAATTACTGCATGGCTCTTCTGTGGCATTTTGCCAAAAAGGACATGTGTTCTTAAGATGAAAAATGTATGAGGATATGAATGTTTCAGAGCATATGCTAATAACCTGGCTGCTCTTTGGACTCATCTGTGCCTCCATAGGGAACTAATGAATTTGTTTTCTTCTGTTCAGACCTGTTTCGTGGACTGCCTGATTGAACAGACGCACCCAGAAATCAGGAAGAGAGACGATGTGGATGTGAGTGTCGACTGTAATAAATGCATCTTGTGAAATTATTACACTTATATTCTGCATAATACAGCAGAACTAACGTGACTTTCGAATTTTTCAGCTCCGATACACCGACATCCTCTTCACAGAACAGGAGGTGAGTGGTTTTGTTGAATTGTAGCATAATAACTATTCATTGTATCCCAAAATATATTGGGTTACCGCATATTAGAATGTCAAGGAATTGCAAATATGAAAATACACAAAGGAATGGTTTAATTTGACAACTTGACTAAAGTGTGGAGGTTGCAGGACCATGTTGCCAGAATAAGCTTAAAGGTGATAGAATTATGTTTCATCTCCTGCAAATGTATTTCTGTCTTGTGCTTTTTCCATAGAGAGGCGTGGGTATCAAGAGCGCCCCTGTCACAATGGTCCTGCCCGACTCCAGAGGAAAATCCTACCTCTTCAACATCATGGACACACCAGGTATAGTGCACGGCTGGATGTGGCATTGACTGAATGCATGTTTGGTGGTTTGTTTTGGTGTATCGTAGCAGAACCTGATGTCAAACCTTGTGTCTCCCTCTAAGGCCACGTGAACTTCTCTGACGAGGTCACTTCTAGCATCCGGCTCTCAGACGGTATCGTCCTCTTCATAGATGCAGCAGAAGGAGTGAGTCGATACGTTCTTTCTCTTTGCACGTTTGTCAACGCTCTTCAACCTTCAAAACGGGTCCGCCCTCAGTGTAGGCAGGATTCTAAGCTGAACGTGAAACTGCCTTAAAATCATCAACGGGACATTTGCTGAATAATTTCAACAGCAGCCGCACTTTGTCAACTGCACGGTGTCGTGTATACGGCGTAGTTTTGCGAGCTACCATTTCTTTTAAAAATCTGGGGCGAGTGAATTAAAAATTGCGATTGCTATTGAAGCTAGCTTGGCTATTTAAAAACGGCGGGTTTGTGCAGCATTACTGATGATTCTCTGTGAGCAGTCAGTGGTCTGCAGTGTTTTAACTCTGCCTTGTGTAATGAATGTGTGTGTGTAATGAACTGAGCTGGACTGCTTGGTGGAAACGTGACCTTTATGTATCTCTGCACAGGTGATGCTGAACACAGAGCGCCTGATCAAGCATGCCGTTCAGGAGCGTATGGCCATCACCATCTGCATCAACAAGGTGGACCGGCTCATTGGGGAGCTCAAATTGCCTCCCACAGATGCTTATTATAAACTTCGCCACATCGTGGATGAGGTCAATGGTTTGCTCAGGTAATACTGAAAACCCGTAACGTGCACACAGTGTTTCAGAGAGCATGAGATGTAGTGCTACATATTGGTGGGCCAAAATGAGACACTTCATGGTCATTTCTCCTCCTCCTCCTCAGCACTTACTCCACAGATGAGAACTTGGTGGTGTCTCCTCTCCTTGGGAACGTGTGCTTTGCCAGCTCTCAGTACAGCGTCTGTTTCACTCTGGGGTCCTTTGCAAAGATCTACTCGGACACCTACGGTAAGGCTGCTCTGCACAACCCGGCTCTGGCGCATCCTTTTTCTTATCTCATGCCTACTGCAGTTAAGTGAAGTATTAACGTTTCATCTCTTTGTGTTTGCAGGTGACATCAACTATAATGAGTTTGCCAAGAGGCTTTGGGGAGACATTTATTTCAACCCCAAAACGTGAGTAATTAATTTGGACATGAACAGAATGCTAATATTTATTGCTGAGCTATCGTCTTTTAACTCATTCTTGTATCTTCTCTTTTTTTTTTTTTTTGTTCAGTCGCAAGTTCACAAAGAAAGCTCCCAGCAGTAACTCTCAGCGCAGCTTTGTGGAATTTGTTCTGGAGCCTCTCTACAAGATCCTCTCACAGGTTAACACACGGCTCACACATTTCTGTGTGACAAAGCAACACAATTGCACAATACGTTCAGCTTAGACCTCAGTGTGTCGTCCTCACCCAGATCCTCTTTCTGTCTAGGTGGTTGGGGATGTGGACACGTCTCTCCCCAGAGTTCTGGATGAGCTGGGGATCCACCTGACTAAAGAGGAACTGAAGCTGAACATCAGACCCCTGCTGAGGCTCGTCTGTAACCGCTTCTTTGGAGAGTTCACTGGTAAGGCTTGATTTGTTTTTATCTATCTATAGTGTTATAATAACTTCTATTAATATCATTTTAATCTGAAGATGAATGAAACGTGTTAAGTGGAGTGTGGATTTCTTCTCTCCAGGCTTTGTGGACATGTGTGTACATCACATCCCCTCACCACAGGAGGGTGCTAGGAGCAAGATAGAGCACACGTACGCTGGAGGTCTG